TTCTATCATCTTTTTCTTCAATTCTACTACTATTACTATTTCTTTTATAACATATCTCATAATTTCTCTTATATTTAGTTTATCAAAACTAATTAAATAATCTCTAAAGCATAAGAAATTATTAGAAAGATCTTGACTAGTTTTGATCATCAATTTTATTATTTTAATTTTTGTTATATTTTTCTATATTACCTAATTCTCTTCACTCTTTCCTATCATTAAAAAAATATTAATTGCAAAATAAAATGTTGAAAATTTTAATTTTTTATTTATTTAAGTATCTAAACAGTTTAATCATCATTGGCTTACTAAACACTTTTTAAAGTAGCTTTTTTTAAGAATTACTAAATAAATTAAGGATACTTTATAAAAATTTTACATGTAGTATGGTTGGTAGATGGACATAATCTTCATATTACTAAAGAAATTAAAGATTTTCTGATCAAGATATTTTTATTATTAAAAAAAATTAACTTACTCCATCTCTTTTGGTATTTTTTTATCATTTTTATTTTGGATTACTAATCTCACATGCATTTATATAGCACGTTGCACGTGAATTTGTTTTGATATTTTGAGTTGGTTTATAATCTATTTTTTTTAATTAAAATTTTTAGCTAAATTAAGTCAAAATTAAGTATGTGATTTACACAAGATATGTAATTTGATAAAATTATCTTTGTTATTTTGAACAAATGATCTATTCTACTAATATAAAGATTAATTTTCTGAAAATTGACCCGAAAATTTCACCAAAAGAATATATTAGAAATAAACTCAAAATCTATCAACATATTAAAGTTTTTTTTTAAGAAACAGATTAAAAAATTGACCTATTGTATAAGAACATGTGAAAGTATTAATCATTTTATCTTTAAAATTTGACCATAATATTTTGAAGATTTTAACGATTTATTTTTTAAATTTTGACCATACTATTTTCCACCCAAGTTAGTCGGTGTAATTTTATAAAGAAATTAATTTAATTTGACCAGTACATAACTAGCCTATTCTTACTGTAATGTGATTTTTAATAATTGATCCACGTGTGCATGTCCAAAGTAATGCACAGAAAATGTAGATGTGATTACAGTTGGGTCTTGAAAAAAAAAAAAAAAAAATACAAGTAGAAGGTAGCATTCAGAACGGAGATTGCCAGTAGAAGAGAAAATTGGAGTATTTTATAAAACAAAGTCAGCCCTAAACATCATACCAGTAATCACATATTAACATGCATGAACAGGAAGGTTTGTTTAGAATATTTTGATCTTCTAATTCTTGCCAGATCTCATTCCCACTGTCAGAATTCAACAAGCAAGCTGCCAAGTTGTATAAATGTGGGTTCTTTTTTTTTTTTTTTTGCCTGATTCAGAATCAAATAAATAAATAATTCTTACAATTATTGGAAAGGCTAGTTGTGTGATATTTTGATCTTGCTGGTTTTTGTGTTGTTTATGGTAGGATCTTCAAAACTAGGATTTATATGTTGGTTGAGCTAATGATGAAAGCTTGGTTTCTTGCTGTTAATTTGTTTTATCTTTCTTGCTTGTAGTTTCAAGCCTCTCTCTCTCTCTATATATATATATATATAGGTTAGGCGCAGGGTTCCCTATCCCAACAAAGAAAATTGTAAATTTCTTTTTGGGCCGGTTTTTTGTGGTTTTAAAAAAATTGTAAACATGTACACACAAAATCAAGAAAAATAAATTTATTTTTCACCTTATTCCTTGGAATTTAAATCTGAGAAAAGATTCAAAACAAAGTTATCATAAAGACACTAATCTAGACTTACGTGGGAGGTTCATTAAATACAAATAAATTGATGAAATTTTTGAAAGTGTTTCCATCCCGCACTCTACTTTTGAGTTATTTGTAAATTTTCATTTTATTTTAGTTCCCCAAATGAAACAGTAGTCATTTGGTTTAGCCCCGAGTTGTTGAATGTTGGGGCATTCCCATCCCATGTTCTTGCAACCTCACGCCCACACCCACGCCTGTCTTTGGTCGGTTTTCTAATCATTATCATCATCGACATTCTTGCCAATATTCTGTCAGGCCACTAAATGTCAAAATCCACCACTGTTTGTCCAAACAAAAATTTCAGGATTTCCCACATTTTAATAGGGCCTGAGATGTGGGAAATTATCATCGGTAGACCTTCACCTAAGGTCCATGTCCAGCTTCCCACACAGGAAAAATGGAATTTCTTACATTTGGTTCGAGGAGACTTGAAGCCAAACCTTTAACAATTTCTGGTCTGAGTTAAAAAAGCAGAACACATCCTTAACCCATTACTCAACGAAAGATACCTGACATATGCCATTAGCTCAATAAGTCATTGACAAATTTAATTGTAACACATGAAAATCGATGTAGACATCTAGAAATGACAATGGATCGAGTATAAATTAAGTATCCTATCTAACCTGCTCATTAATTACCTTTTTCATTACCCTATCTAGCTCGTCTATATATATATATATATATATATATATATATATATATATATATATATATATATATATATATTTTTGTGTGTGTGCCTGTGTGTGTGCAAGCGCACGCGCACATGTTGACTTTTGTTTTTTCTACACCATGCCTTTTTATTTTGTATTCTTTCATACAATATTTATTATTATTATTATTATTTTTTCATTTTTTCCTACAATATTTCCTTTTAAGATACCCTTAAGTTTTGCAGTTTCTTTTTTATTTTATTTTTTTATTTCTTTGCTAATACTGACTTTTTATGGCATTGATTTTTAAGACATGTTGTTAGGTTCATGCGGGTCGCATGGGAAACGTTGGCTAAGATTTGGCAGCGTCTGCCATGATGACCACGTTGTTGGGACAATTTATGGCCTTCTTTTTCTTTTGTTTACCAGCTGGTTTGCTATGGTAACGTACACTTTGTCCATGAAATTTTACTAAATGTTGATGATGACGATGATGACCATTTGATCCCATTTTCTAACCTTAGATGATTTGTTTCCAATCTTGGAGTCCCATTTTCTTCCATGCCATGTCTCAGTTGCCATTACTCACGAGGATCAACACACCATGCATGCTCATAGGAACCAATTTTCAAGAAAATCTCATGAGCCCATGGTTTGGAAATTCTCAAAAAAATGATTTATCTATATATATTAGGTAAAAGAGAGAAATTTAGTTTCAGCACATGAAAATTAATAGTAATATGTCAAACTTGAGTATTGTGTAGAAGTAAATTAATAATTAAGATTGAGAAGGAAGATTGTACGTATATATACAGTAGAAAATATCCATTTGGATTAATTTGGTTTTTTGTGATAAAGTGATCATATCAATAAATAAGCCTTTTCATCCTCGTGTTTTAACCTGACCCATCATAGTGGTAAGGTAAAAAATGCTTAAATAGTATGGAATTATTATTATTTTTGACAGCACCTATTAAGATATTCTATACTATTTCTGTCTTAAAAAAATTATTCTATTTAATTTTTTACACAAATTAAAAAATTATTAATTATTATTCATGGTAAAATATTTTATTTATAATTTTTAAAATTTTTTATAAAATAAAATTTAATTAAAATATTTTAAAACTCAAAAGGAAAAAAATTGAAAAAAAAATTCTTCAATTTAAGGGAAAAGATTAGCAAATAAACAGGTATGGATAAGGTATGAGCAAGATATGATATAATAGGTATGGACTGATAAAAGAAATGAATAAGTGATTTTTAGTGGGTAGTTGACACGATAATGTGTATAGTATTTTTTAATGAGTAGGGTATGAGATTGGTTTAATGGGCTGGCCCATTGCCATCCCGACAACTGAAGTTGAACTTTTTCAACAATTTCGCTTCCTTGTTTATTCTAATTGCAAAGCCATCTTCCTATCGAGAAATTTTATATCATTCAAAGAGTAACTAGTGACATGTATAGTAGTTATTATATGAATTCACTTCACATTGAAAAGGAGAGGGAAATAAAAAAAAAATTAAAAAAAATTTAAGCCAACGTGAAAATCTTCTTATTACTTTTGGTATTATAAAATCAAATAGGTCTATGAAATAATTATTATACATACCACTAGTTACTTGTTTGAGTATTATAAAATGTCAATTTCAATTTGGTTTTTTTTAAAAAGATAAATATAGCTGTATGAAAAATAAAGAATTATAATACGAGTAACTATAAAACAATATTATCTTCTTTACGGAATCAGGTATAAACCTAGTTTGATAGAAGAAATAGACAAGATGAGTACTAACCTTTTTTTTAAATTAATTTTGATTGTGGTTTCTTTCAAAAGAGAGCCACATTGCTTGAAAAATCGACACTGTTATTTTAGCCAGCATTGTTGTTTATAACTTCTTTTTTTTTTTTTTTGGGAACATTTTAAAGGAGGCATGAAAGTTGGGAAACTAAGAATTGGCTAGAGTGGTATTTGAGTTGTTTGTAGCAAAATGTGATGGGAATCCAATGGGATAACAACTCCAATTGGTTTTTCAAAACTAGGAACTAATTAAGGAATACTGGAAGGAATTGACTTCCATTCCTCCATCTCCTTCCATACATATCACTTTCCTAAGCTTGTTGGAGACTTTCTTTTCCCCTGAAAAATTGCAGCAGATTTCACTCCAGGAGCCCAAAGGACTAGGAGGAATCCATGCTTAAGTTTGTTTCCTCCAGGCAGATGAAAACATGTAAGCAGGCAGTGTGTCTGATTTATCAAAAGACAAAACAAAAGGGACTACATTGTAGATACTGCAGCGGATTTCAGTGTTTTATGGCAAGTGGACGAATTCAAAACAAAAGTTCATGTATAAACAAGCCTAGACAAGCCTAAAGGTTATACCACTTGGTAGACCAGGACAGGTATTGAGAACTTTCCAGCCCTTTCCTACCTTTCACTCTCCACTGTATTTTAAACTCACTAATATTTTCAATTTAGGGTTTCCAAATTTCATACGGTAACAATTACAGGTTTTGGACAGTAAATTAGAGTGTTATAAAGCATGGAGCAGAGGGGGTGTGCAGAAGGAGAGCAATAAGTTTTGGACTTCAAGAGTAAAAAGATTGCACCCTTAGTTGATAAATCGGCTGAAAAACAAGAAATTGTTGAAACCCAGAAACGTTTGGAAGCTAATACGTTCACCTGCCAATACGAATGAGCCTCTGGATACCAAATTTCGGAGAAGGAGAGTTTGAACTTTTAAAAAGCTACAAGACATCTGTAGAACTCTTTGATAGTATGAGTTTGTGTCACTGAGGTTGCTGGTATGAGTAAAAAGTGACCTACTTTTCAAAATATATCTGCACAAGTTGAAGTCTTGACTGAAAGGAAGTTCTATTACGGACATCTTGCACAGATAAAATATTTACTTCCTGAAGCTGTACAGATAGATAGGATCACTTTGCATGAAGCCATATATGAAAATTGGATTGCTGCTTGATGTTGTAGAAGGTAACGATGAAGAATCTGATTTTATTGCTCCGTGCTAAATTTTTGCTTCTAGGCTTGTTGATTGCTTTATAAAGCATCTTGAGGCTTGTGATATTCCACAGGCTGTATTGGTTTTGACCTTTCAGAGGTTGTCTTTTGTGAGCCCTTTAACGAAAAGAAGTGAAACCATAGCCACAGAGCAATTGTTTGCAGATCAATCAAGAGCATATCTGCCAGCTGCCATTGAAAGTCAGAGGGTTTGTAATCCATCCCATTACGTTCATCTTTCAATAGAAACTTCTCTCAGAAGACTTTCTCTGACGAGGAGAAGAACCAACTGTTGGCATCTCCTGTTCCTCCACCAGTTTCACCGTCTGGCAATCTTAATCATGAGCATCTCAATGAAGCAAGAACTGGAAAACTCCTCAGTTGTGTTCTCAATTTGATGGCAGGAGTGCAGGACCAACCTGGACATCAAAAGCGAACAAGCAAAATAATTTTTCATCATGAGCATCTCAATGAAGCAAGAACTGGACAATCTCCTGAGTTGTGTTCTCAATTTGATGATAGGGCCAACCTGGACATCAATAGATGCAAGCAAAAGAATTTTGCATCCCATATTCCAAATCTACCTCTATCAATCATCTGCCTAGCCAACCTATTAATCCTGAAGTCTCTGCCGACGTCTGTACTTCTGCCAGCCCCAAGTGTACACCCGGCTCATCTGTTGACAAAATTACTGTAAGAAATGCCTTCACAGTCAACTCCAAGGAGAGCAATGCCTAGCTCTGATGACAAGCACAAGGCCAGTGCAGGCCAAAAGCAGACATTATCTCGTAAGCCTGTGAAAAGGGTGTTAGATTTCCCATACTTGGAAGGTGATAAAGGCGCATCAGAATGCTATGAATTCTTACATGATAGTAGCACTCAAATTCTTGCTGGCTCTTCTTCACTACTTAAGAAGGTGGAGGGAACCCTCGGTAGCTCATCTGTAGATAAGAAAACCTGCCAGTCTGATACAACGCACCTGCAGATGTCTATTCACTTGCCTGACCTAGTTTCTTTGATTCACCACTTCTCTCCAGTCTGTTAAATTCTCTTTAATTACAGAGGAGGAACTTGAGCACAAGATAATTCTAGATAGTTCAGATATTATTGACAGAAGGGAGGTTGGAGAACAGATTGGGATTCTTGAAATGCGAGTTCCAGATTGGATTTGCAGGATACCAGCAACCAGTGGCGATGTCTTGTACAAGATCAAGAAAATGTCAAGACTTAGGCACGGTTCAGGCAAAGGCTATAGCTTAGGACAATATATAAAGGTATCTTGATTTAATACTGGGAAATGGCTTGAAGATTGCCTTGAGGCTGCTGGGGAGTTTGAAGCTTGCTTGGCTGCTGGGAAAATACTGGGAAATGGCTTGAAGATTGCCTTGAGGCTGCTGGGGAAATATGAAGACTCGCATGGGGAAGCTTTAAGTGATTGCAGCAGGTGGGTAGTAGTTGGCCATGTAATCAATCCTACGTGGAAGTCAGTTAGCCACGTGTAACTCAGTTATAGAGTTGTTAGGAAAACATTTAGTATAAATCAAGGAGCAAGAAACGGGAAGAGGATTCTGTTTTTGGCAAATTAATCTTCCTCTGATTTCTCCTCTGATTTTCTCTCTGATATTCGTCTGCATTTCTTCCTCTCTGATTTCTCTTCTATTCTGTATTTCTAAATCTTGTTACAAATTGTTCTTATGAATTGATTGAATAAAACCAAAATACTTTGATTCTTCATAGAATTGTTCAGTTCATCTCTGTTCTTCAATTACTGGAATTTGGATCGTATCAAGGGAGGCCTCAACTAGATGGTGCAGAAGCAGGATTTGTATTTGGCTGGAAGGATCGTCGGATGTTATGTTTGCAAGATGATCTCTGCCCCCATTTACATCCGCAGGCTACTCAATATTCATTGATGGATACTTGAGATAGTACCAGTTCTACTTAGTTTTTGTGTATAAAATGTGCTGAGCAACTGCAACCCTTCTTATTTAATTTTGATTCATTAGTGTTTCCCAAAAAGAGATTTTTTTTTTCCAAACTACCCTAATGAATTAGATCCAAGGCAAAAATGGCAGTGGAATGGATGCGGTTTTGCAAGATTTGGCTGAACAAATGAGAAGGGAAGGTGAAGGAGACAAATAAAGCTACTTAAAACTGTTTGTTTATCACATGTGCTTGATTGATATACTGCCAACCATAACGATATCTGTAAATCAGTAAACCAAAACTAGTGAGCTAATCATCACCTTGTAACATCTAGATATTATCTTAGACAAGGACATATGAAAGAACATTAGCGTTTTCTCTCTCTCTCTCTTTTACTCGTACATCCATCACTGGAAAGTTGAACTCTCATGCAACACCAAAGCACGCATATGGCTTCTGTCTCTCCCAAAAAAAGGAGAAAAGAAGAAGAGAAAGAAGTATGCCATGGCCTGTCATTGCCGAGTGCAGTTAAAATGGCTTCTGTATCATGACAGCATTCAATGGCCTCAAAATTCTTCAGCTGTTCTAGTTTTCCAAAACTTTCAGTCGAAGAAGAGAAAAGTGTAGTTATAATTAAGTTACTTCAAGTCATCAACTCATATAGCAGCAGAATGATATAAAAGTATAAACCATGGACTTCATGATATCAGTAAACAAGATCACATGAAAGTCTTTTGAAGCAGGGGGTGTGCTAATAAGAGGCTCAATATGATAAGATTGAAAGAAATGTATAATCCATTTCAACCTTTATATTTGTATAGATGTTCAAAATAAAAAAATACAAAAATAAAAAAACAGAAAAACATATAAAGCACAGAAAGCAATCATAAGCCAGATTGGCCATATAATGAATCACCTCAGATATCATTATTCACTCCAATCTTCCCTTCATATCTACGTAACAGGTATAAGGAAACAAACTCAGTGACAATAGTGACCAAACCAGCAGAATTTTCCACCTCCTTCACACCCCACTTCCTCTTCATCATCTCTGCTGTGAATCCACCACAAAAGATTAGTGAGTGAGTTGCCATCATCATGACCATTCAAGTTCTTAATCTTCTCCAAAGCACTTTCTTTGTCATAAATGCCTTCTAAGGCATAAACAAATCCCTTCCATCCTTCTCCAACTCCTCCTCTTGCCAAAGCTGGTAATGTCCAATTTACTAGCTCTCTTGTGAATCCAACATCAGAGAACAAAACCTCGCTAATAGGCAACAAGGGCAGTAACTGAATGCCGAGCCTACACTCTTTCCAGTCAGGAGGTGCAAACCAGAGCCCACTGTCCCTCTTGTTAGCCCACAGAACACCCACCACCCTATTCTCTTTAGTGAAATCTTCTGGGTACAACTTATCTTCCTCTTTTACGTGCCACCACGTTTGTGCTGCGTGAATTTCCAGTGCAGCAAGCAATGATCCTGTGGCTACAAGATGAGTGTCTCCATAAGCTAATCCCATTAAAGCCGCTGAATAGTATGCATTCACTGCTTCACTTGTACTCTCCTGGTTCCGCCCATCAGCAAATTCAGTTAGCCCTCCAGCCCAAGAATGCAATTTATACAAATCAAAGCACCTCAAGCGTGTATAATTCGAATTTGATCGCCTTCCCAAGTTCATAAAATCAGCCATAAGTGAATAAGCTTGTGTCCTGTACTTCCTACCCCATGCTGGATCAACCTTTGCAAGAACAGCAATGCCATACAGAAAGTACCCCAGGTGATAGTGATGATCATTATAAATTCCAAACCCAAAATCAGCACCCGAATCTGTTAGACCTTGTTTGGTGACAATCCCACCCCATTTATCATCATATAAAAAACCATTCCCCCCAAAAGTCCCTTCCAACCATGGCTCAATTGTTTCCTTCAAGAACTTCCTTACGGTTGGAATCACATCAAGAAAGCACACCTCCTCGGCTATCAAAGCCAACCTTGCTCCTCTTGCAATCAATTTACCATAAAAATAAGATGATGTTGTTGTTATAGCCGATGAATCTAACCCCCCAACATCCTTAACAAGTGCATCAACAATTTCACCATAAGATTGTTCTCTGATGCCCTTAATTGAATGCCAAGTTATTGAAACAGGATCAGATCTCAACAACCAAGAATCTCCAACAACACCAACAAGTTCACCATCAATACTATTATACTTAAAATCATCTAAAACAGTAACATCGCTATGATTACTTGATAAAAGCTTTAAATGTAAAGGATGTGCAAGCATAAGCAAATCACCCCAACCTTTCTTTTCCCATTTATATTCTAAACAAAATGGTTTAGTGAAAGCTGCATCACCTGACACTGGATAGCAAGAACTGAACCTATCAAGAATTGCCTCATATTTTGGATCAGAATCCGGCAATACAGCAATCCTTATAATCCCTGAAAACCCTTCAGAAGTGATCGAAGAAAGACCGTGACTCAAATTTATGGGAGAAGATGAATATATGAGCCATGTTTGATTGTTGTTAAGCTTGACAGTGTACTTGGTGAGTGAATTACTGGAAGAAAATGAGATAATGGCATGGATTGTTGAAATGGAAATTTCTGTATTGCCAGTGATCAAACAAGTCAAGAAAGGGCTTCCTCTAACAAGAAAAAATCGAAACTTTGAAGAGGGCATATCCAAAGTGACGCTAAGATCACTATAAGAAGAAATAACATGACTTTTTCCTGGATTTGGGTCAGTTTTATTTGTTGCAGAGATGGTTAAATCGGCGACAAAAACCTGATAAAAGAAAGAAGAGTTGTGAAACTGAGATGGGTAGGAGAGAGAAAGGGAAGAAAGAGAGGATTTTATGAGATACGGATGGATATATTCAGGCTGGTCACCATTCTTAAGGGTAAAGTTTTGAAAGAAAGAATTTGTGGGTAATGGAGAGGAGAGAAGAGAAGGCGAGAAGAAAAGGGATGGATCTGGGAGGACAGTGGATTGTGCTTTAGGGAAGAGAGATGGAAAAGTTGGTGGCATGGTTGGAGCTTGAGGAGGAGGAGAAGGAGATTGTGAAGGTGGTGTTGGAGATGGACTTGGGATTGGAGTTTGGGGCTTATAAGGTCGTCTCTTGCAAGGTTTTTTTAAAGACTTGGTTATTAAGGTTTTGACTCTTCTTTTCAGTTTTTTCAGCATCTTCTTGGAAGTGGATGGAGGGGCAAATATGATTTTAATTAGTTGGGATTTGGTTAAGTTTAGAGGAAAAAAAGGGTGGGATGGAATTGACTTTGTTTGTTGGTTAGTAATCAGACTTTTGCCTAAATTTAGGGCCAGGAGAGGTGGATGTTAGGGTGGGACGTATAAGAGGTTTTATTGAAGAAATAGAAATGGGGGATGAGGCAAGATGAAGACGATGAAGAAGAATGTTGAATTGCAAGTGAAGTTGGACGTGGGGTTTTCAAGACATGTAAGGATTGCAAGGTATCCAAAGGTATTTCTTTTATTTCCACATGTGAATCTGAAAGTGTGACGAAGGGACAAGGAATGTGGGCTTTGGAATGCTTGAGAAGAAAGGAAGTCACAAAATTGAACAGTATAGTTTAAGATTTCGACAAGTTTGGATAAACCTATTCAATGCAATTTAAATTCTTAATTCAAGTTACCATTGAGGTTTTGAATTGCCAATTGCAACTGGAAGTTTCTTTTAGCGGAAATTATATATATATATATATATATGCTTGCAAGTTTCTCCTATTTACGTACCCTGTTAGATGTTAGAGAACGAAGTTGATTCAGCAATAAAAAAATCTATTCTAATTTGCACGTAACCGAACAAGGTTTTGGAGTAAATTTTATTTAACAATAAAAGTATCTTTAGACAAGTAGATATGTGCACGTAATGCTGTTTTGCGAGGCTAACGTGTTTTGTGAGGCTATGGCATTACCGGCCGGGTAGCTCTGCTGAGGAGTCAGACAATACCAATCAGATGAGCTTGCAAATGTTAAGCACAGCAGATTGACACAGCACTGCAGCCGTTGCTCTTGGATAATAATTTTATTTATTTCTTTATTCAATGATAAACGGTCCTTTTACTTTTATTTTCAAACGTTTTTTATTTTACCATTTCAAGTATTTATTTAGTTAATTAGTTCAGTTGTCCAATGGGAAAATTCTTACCACTATATATATATATATTTTCTATATTTGGGTAAGAGATGATGCTATTTTATAGAGTTTCAAGTCTTATAACTAGTACAAATTTGTTAAGACATGATAAGATGTTTGAGCTTATTGTATCTACGAGATGACATGTAATATATTTTTGATCCGTTGTATCGGATAAATTTTACGGATGATGTGTATTATCTCAAAAAAGCAACTCTGATTGTATCTTGAGTTAGTCACCTAAAAATTATGATAAAACTATTTTGATTACTCGGTCATCTTTATATCATAAAATATGATAATGTAATTTTAATCATTAATTTTTCTAATGATCAAGGCAAAAAGTTTAAATTCTTTATTTATTTTAATTTACAATAAATTTATTTATTTATTGCATCAATTTAATCATTAATTTTTCTAATGTTCAAGGCAAAAAATTTAATTCTTTATTTATTTTAATTTACAATAAATTTATTTATTTATTGCATCAATTTTTATTATTTAATTATGTTCATTTTTTATGTGCTAGGAACAACAATTTGAGACAATACCATGTTGTGATTTAATGATTAAAATTGTGAAATGAATTTGGGCATGAAAATTTTAATATTATGTTTTTTACAATGTCAATCCCATTACTTGAATATAGTGGATTTTTTTATTGGTGTTTTTAATTAAGCATAAAGCAAGTACTAGAAAATTTTTTATCTTGCTAACATATTATTTGGTTGTATTGATCTTGCAAAAACTATTACTGCCATGTGACTAATAAGATACCAAGATCATGTTTAATGAAAAATAAATATTATTTTTTGCTAATATATTTTATATGCATATTTATGAGATTATTTATATATTGATCCGTAATGTATTTTATATTTTACGGTTATTTATCAAATATTGTTATTCAAGTTCAATAATATTGATAGTGTTTTGTGACATTAACCATGTTAATTTATTTGTGTGAATTTTATTGCTAGTACAAATTTAAATAATTTAAAAAATGATTTATAAATTAATTTATATTGTCCAATGATAATTGACATTAAAATTACTTGTCGTGTTGTAATGTCATGCGATCGAGATAAATAAGAAGCTAACGAAGAATAGATATGCAACATTTTTATATGGATATACTTATTTTATTGGATGCAAAGTCAAGAAAACCAAATTTATGTGGCATTGGAGGCAATAGAAGGTTGGTCAATATAAAAATTATTTCAAGTCTCTACTGGTACTTATGATAAGACAAGTATAAAAAGTCAAGTAAGTATTTTAAATATTGAATTATTAAAGTATTTTGATTTTTGCTCTATGTATTTGATATTCACTTTTGATGATGAAAGTATGTGATACTTGAGATTGCAAGTAATTTTAGATTTTTGTATGGATATTTATTGATCCATGCATAAGTGTGTAATATATATATATATATATAATGGAGGGAGAAATGTGAATTATCATATAGAATATTGTTATTGAATATTTTATGAATTAAATATTACTAAAAGGTTGGTTCACGTGATTGATTTATTAAGATTTGAAAGGTCATGTACTAATATAATTAAAATCAATTATGATTGAAAGCTAATTATTTTTATGTGATTTTCGTTGAAGTTATCATTATAATTTATGTTTGACAACCATATCTAATTATGGAAATAATAATCTTGTCGAGTTGATTGTTAGTAAGATAAATTAGCAAGGTAAATGAATTAATAAAGAGCTTATCGTGAAAATAAAAATTTGATATATTATTTTCTAAAAATATATCTTGTTGATTATTTGGTCACAAGAAATAAATTATGAATGTTAATGATGAAATAATAAAATAATTCATGTAATCACTTTGTCTATAGTGGTAGCAAGAAAATTATTTATTATATGAATAATAGGGGCATAAAAAATGTTATTGCATTAAAATTTTGTTTGAGAAAATTATTATGCAGTTCAAGATAAATTATCATAATTTTTCTCATGATTTTTGAATTTTTTGCCACATGTAATTTTTTTTTATGTTATTGGAAATATTTATAAAAGCATTCCTATTATATAAAAGTTATAACGATGCTTATAAAATATTTAGTAAAAGCATTCCTATTATACAAAAGGTATAATGATGCTTATGGAATATTTGGCAAAAACATTGAGAGAATTGATGGAATTAATGACACTCCTATTACACAATTAAGGTACAATGATGTTTTGATGATATTATCCGATAAGTGAAATTATAGACACTCCTATTATAGATTCAAGACACAATGGTGTTGTAATGCTATTGTCTAATAAGACAATTGGTGATATTTTGAGAAATTTAAATCTCTAACTAAATATTGACATTTTTATTATATAAATGAGATACAATGATGTCAAATTTATATGAGAAACTAGAGATCGGAAAATGTCCCCATTCATTTTAATGTGATTATATAAAATATTTTCCATTGTATTAGAAAATACAATGAAGTCATCATATTTTAGCACAATGATGGAGATGCAAAAAATAAATAGTATGTTTACTATTGGCTCAAGTATGTGTGTGGTGAAACTTAAATTAGCTAAAAAGTTAAAGCCAATGAAAAAGCAAGTGGATGCCGATGGAAAAGAAAACGAGTAGATGTTTTGCTTTGTCTAAAATAGTAAGGATGAAAAATTCCTACTATTTGTTTTAGCATTAATAAATTGATTAAGTACTAGTTACCTAATCCTTTGGGTGTATATTGAATATTATGAAAATAAATCTTTAGCTAGAGTCAAAGGATTGGATGATACATCGAGGGGATGAGACTAAGCCCATAAATGAATAAAATCACCTATGTGGATACTCTACTTAGGGACTTGAGATCTCAATAACTAGGTTCAAGGAGAAGAATGAGCATATAGTGGTTTGATTACATGCATAATTTATTTGAGTTACAATACTCATATATCTATCCCTATAGTGTAGTGCATGAATCCCACAATGAAAAAGAGGTTAAGTTTCTTTAAATGAAACTTTTAAAATGGTCTATAGTTCTTTTTTAATAAGATGTTAGAGTTATGGGAGTATCCTTGATAGACACACCTATATGAGTTAGGAAGTGAGGCCACTTTCTATGAGAATGGAGCTAATTCTCTAGAACACTCATAGAACCCGGGATCAAGCACAAGGCCTTTAATATGCTAGCTCTAAAACTCGTCGCGAGTACCTAAATATAATATGTGTGATACAATATTTATTTTTCTTAAAAAAGCCTTAGTTCAAGACAATGTTCACTATTGGCTTAAGAGAAATATTGTTGAAACACTAAGTAAGGGTTCAAGCCATTGGCACCCTTATTATGTATTATGTTCATTTCCTTACCCAAAAATATGCCTTATATTTTATTAAAAAATAAGTGGGGGATTTTTGGAATATTTTTTAATAAAATATTAAAAATTTATTAATTAATAATGTATTCAATGTATGACACATTATGCAAAACAATACAAAAGTGTTATTGAAATTGTTTCAAAATAGTTTCAATAGGTACCATTTAATGTTTTTTTAATAATTTTATTTATTTCTTTATTCAATGATAAATGGTCCTTTTATATTTAGTTTCAAACATTTTTTCTTTTACCATTTTAAGCATTTATTTAGTTAATTAGTTCAGTTGTCCAATGGGACAATTCTTACCATTGTATCTATAAGAATTTGTTATTTGACAAGGAACATTTAGAGCTCTAAAGGAAAATTAGCTATCATGCTTTTATATATTATTTTCTAACCTCTACTTAAAGAAGCCATATAGTTATTTTTGTCTATGTTTGGGTAAGAGCTGGTACTATTTTACGAGTTTCAAGTCTTATAAATAGTGTAAATTTGTTAAGACATGGTAAGGTGGCTAAGCTTGTTGTATATCCGAGATGGTGTGCACTATATTTTTGATCCGTTGCATTTGATAAATTCTACGCATGATGCGTATCATCTTAAGAAAGTAACTCGATTGTGCCTCGAGCTAGTCACCTAAAAATTATGGTACAACTATTTTGGTGGTTCGGTCAT